ATTACTGCGCGCAAACCGCTCAGGATCATTCGCACTCTGGATCCCAGCGCTCTGGAACTATCACATGCAATGGTAAGTGGTTATTGGGGTAACTGACTTCATGGACTTTGTTTGACTGACAAATCTTCCAGTCCGTGGACAACATCTGGCCCAACAAGATTGAATACTCCATCAGTACTCCGACGAAAGCCATCGTCTTCGGAACCGCCATCCACGTCGATTTCAAATTGATTCCACTTCTCAAGGGTCTTCGCATCGGTCAAATTACGTCTCAGTTGATCGAATCCCATGACCTTACCCTCAATCCGGAAGACCCCGATTCCATTCGCAACACATACAAGATCACGAGGACGATCTTGACCGACGAGCATGAGTTGGATGAGAACAACATCGAGATCATCGATGAAACGGCAGAAGGATACCAATGCACGCGCGTCCTAGACATGCCCCAGACTTTGACCCGCTGTCTGCAGGATACGGACACCAAGGGAATCAAAGTCCGCCACAAGTTGAAGTTCCGTATTCAGTTGCACAACCCAGACGGTCACATCAGCGAGGTGAGTAATAGTAGAACCACTAACGATTGTGCTGTGAGGCTAACGTTCTCAATGCAGCTCCGTGCTACGCTGCCAGTTTCGATCTTCATCTCACCACACCTTGCCATCGACGACAACAACAACCTTACCGGGCAAACACCTCAAAATACCCGGATCGCCGTCGATGAGTTCGCACACCAGGCGCCTCCCCTTTATGGCGAGCACACATTCGATCAGCTGTATAGCGAGCTGGATCCCAGCGGCTATCGCACACCAGGTCCCGGCAGTGGTCCGGGCACGCCATTCACTCCGCTCAGTCGCAACATATCGTCAGAAAATCTCGCCTCCATGAACGCCCTGACCAACACCGATATTTCGGCCTCGGCACTGCACCATCGTCTCATAAACCTGAATGCAAGTCCGCTCCACCACCCCGTCAATACCGGTACATCCGCTCCGAGCGAGGGGCTGCACGGATCTCAATCCCCAACGGAAGGACACAACATTCATCGCCAATTGGGTGTTTCTAATGACTACTTCGGAGCGGTTTCCGGATCCAACACACACAGCCATGGCAGTCCAGAACTCTCCCGTCGACCCTCCGATGAAGTGGAACCTGAAGTCCTTCCCTCGGGCATGGCAACTCCCTTCCACCCTCAGTACGACGAGGTGGAGACTCTCAGCCGGGTTCCCAGTTATTCCACTGCAGTGCGCTGCGCCGTGCGTCCGCGTGACTCTGGTCTCCCTGATTACAACGCCGTGATCGCTAGCAGTCTTCCTACACTACCAATTCCGCAGTCTCCCCAGCAGGCTTATATTCGCAGTGGCCGTGTAAGCGGAGCTGCAACCCCCCTAGAGGTGCCTACCCGCCCCGGCTACTTCAATTCCCACGGCACCAATGCTGATGATGAGGAACGCAGACTTAGACTTGTGCAAGCTCGCGCCAGAGCATGAGATGTGGTTATGATCCATGGATCCACACATGATCTTCCGCCTTCGATTTTCACCAAAAGTTCTCCTTCTCCACCGGTGCTGGACACTGAGACCTCCGCGAACCGCTCTCCCCTTTATAACCCTTCGACCCCTTTTCTCTCTCCATTTACTTCCCCTCTCCCTCATATCCATTTCTACTTTCTACGAACGATCATGGTCCCCAGCGTTAACTACCCATTTCGAGCCTTAATCTCGATCAATCTGGAACTTCTCACGCAGCATTGTTCTGAATCTTTCCACTGTTCACCAGCGGCAACTTCCCACTTCTCTTTTTCTCTCGCTCATTTTTTTTCCCCTCTGGCGTTCAATCATAGACAGGAGATATTTTCATAGATGGTGACGGGTGTTTCGATTTTTCCTTTTTCCTTTTTCCTTTTTCCTTTTTTTTTTTTTTTTCAACCTCACGAATGAGATCCGATATCAATGAGCTGCATGATATTAACATATGCCCACCAGCACGAGTCAGACATACGAGCCTTTGACGCATGTACTTAATTATTTTTTTGTTAGATCAAATTCTTCAATTCTTCAATCTTCAATTCTTCAATGCTCAACCGATTTGACATCTTCGATGATATCATGACCCAATTAGGAAATTAGCTGTCGATCGTATTAGGTAATCGATGAATCGACTGGCCTCAGTGGACTCTCCTTCTTCCGGTGTCAATGGCATTGTTCGTTTTCAATAGATGCAACATTGGAGGTTCCATTGGCACATGGCTATTACCGACTCATATCATTGCTCCGTACATTCTATCTTCTTCCTGGGCTCTACTAGTAGTAAGGAGGTTTGGTTAGAGTTGAAGGCTATAGCTACCCTGTCCTTGGTAGTAACTTACAGCCTTGAGTATCGTAGAGCCACGATATTGTTACGCTTTCAATCAACTCGATACAATAGACATAATAAGTATTGGGTAGATTCAACCATACATAACTAGGGCTTACAAAGTGGTTTGGTCCGAGCGAGAACGAGGGGCACAGTGACCTCATTGGCGTCTGTCGATCGGTTAAGAACTCACTTCTCGCCTTAATCTTTTCTTGACCTAAAAGATAACCTTGGAATATCCCACATTGTGCAAAGTGCTAGTCGAATAACTGTGGTAAGTCTATGTTGTATGTTGTACTCGTCCTCAATTATGGATCTCTGCTAACTAGTCCAGCCATAGACTAGCGCTCCCCCACCATCATCGGTCTTAACGCAGCCACCGATGCAAACATCCTATTATTCATTTAAGCCACACCATCACCCTTCAGCCCTGGTTTTGGCGAGGATAATATAATTCCGTCTTCCATTGTTCCTTGTTGACACTTCGAATTGGATCACGGACTCACCGATATACCTTACCCCGCCCTTTCTCCGCTAGCATGTCCACCCCAGTGAGCCCCGCGGATGTGAAGCTGCCTCAGCGGTCTGGTACCGTGAGCAGCGCCTTCACTCGTCGTACTTCCATGAGTGACGATGAGGCTATCCCCGACACCGATAGTAGTGAGGTCTGTATCCGTGATCTCGAAGAAAAGGAATACCTTGAACTGACGGTGTGGTTGATCACAGACTACCAATCTCCTGCTTGAGCGTCTCCGAGCCTGGAAGCATATGTGCGGATTTCTCGAGGATTATTTCTCTGCTACTGCCAAAGTGCAAAAGTCCCAGTCTAAGGATTATGAGAAGATCTTGAAGGTCGGTGTTTATTCCGGTGGGTAGGGGTCACCGGAACTGACAAAGAATGGAAATAGGCCGTGAACGAACCCCTGAAGGAGGGACACCACTTCAGCTCTAGCGAAGGCGGCGTGGCTGGTTTGTTCGAAAACCTCCGCAACAACACCCAGGGCATGGTTACTATGTACATGGATGGCGAAAAGAACCTAAAGAACGCCGTTCTCCCCACCCTCGAGCGTCTCCACAAAGAGATCAAGAACAAATCCAAGGAGCTGAGCACCGGAGCCTCCAAGGGCGCCAAAGCCGTCGAAAAGGCCCGCGGCCTGACCCAGAAGCACATCGAGCTCCTCGGCCAGAACTCCGCTACCTACGACGCCGCCGCCTCCGGCAAGATCGACCAACACCACGATCCCTACCTCCTCAAGCGCGGCATCAACCACCGTCTAAACAACCAAGTAAACGAGGAGAACAACCACCGCCAGGATATCCTCGCCGTGCAGAACTCTTTCCAGCAGTTCGAAGCACACGTCCTGCAGACCATCCAAGCCACCATGCAGCAATTCCACCAGTACATGGGCGGCCAACTCGAGCGCCAGGGAGCCATGTACGCCGACATCCTCGGCACCGCCCAGCGCATCCCACCAGACTTCGAATGGATCAACTTCTGCGTGCGCAACGACGCAGCCCTGGTAAACCCAGACTCGCCACCACGCTCCTTCTCCAGCATCACCTTCCCGAACATGGACCACCGCTCCACACAGCCACTCATCGAGGGATCTTTGGAGCGTCGCTCGCGCGCCATGATCAAGGGCTACTCCACCAGCTACTACGTCGTCACACCGGCACGCTATCTGCACGAGTTCAAGGACAACGACGACTTCCGTCGCGACCCCGCCCCAGAACTCTCACTATACCTACCCGACTGCGTCGTCGGCGCCATCGACGGCGTGAAGTTCAACGTAAAGGGCAAAGACGTCTCCAGCGGCAAAATCGGTAACGCTTTCCACACAAACACTGAACTCAGCTTCAAGGCCCACACCCCCAATGACGCAGAGAAATGGTGGTCAGTCATCAAGGACGCTACCCGTGGCCCGGCACTAGCGGCGGCTGCTGCGACCACCCTCGCTTCTCCCACCGCCACCTCACCCGCCGCTATCTCGCCTGCTGGCTCTGCGAGCCCCTCCCGCAGCGTCTCCGGCCAGACACAGCCGCCCACTTACGCCGAGAACGAGATGGAGAAGACACAGGCTTCTCAGACTACCGCTGCTGCCCCTGTGGCTGCATCCCCTGTTGCCGCTAGTCCTGCTGCTAGTACCCCGACTGTGGGGATTAGTCGTACGGCTAGCTCGGCTAGCCACTTCCACACCTCACCTGGTGGTTCCGCTGTGGACAAGTCGTGAGAGGATGGGGTTATTTTCCCTTATTGTCGTTTAGGCATATATTCTTTTAAGTCTTTTTTGGTTTTTTTGGACTTGCATTACCGACTCACATACTTTCAATGTTGAATAACGCATGTGCATTTCATCCGTTAATCAGGATGTCGGGTTTCATTCATCCACCAGGAGAGTGAAGCACACATATATACCTTGGTTAACTGGATATATACCTCTTAATGAATTTCATTTCAGCAATCAAAATGCAAGAATCAGATATCAACGCTAACTAGATCGAAGATCCTTTTAACTGTCAAATACACAAAATGGGTAGAGTTGTGTCGTCGAATCATATCATAGCCTATGCTGGAAGATACACAGGTCGTAGGCTAGCTAGGTAACCCCAGCATACATGGCTGCATACATTTTCATTTCCAAATATCAGAAATCCTCCGGACTTTCCAGATCATCCAGTTTCTCTCCGAGGAATCGACCTAGCGCAGCGCATTTCGATTCCAACGCAAGCAAGACGGCCGGCGAGGCGGAGAGGTTCAAGCTAGCCAGCCGCGCAAGATCGGCGCTGCGATCGATCTCATATTGCGGGTCTCCGGGGCCGTTGTGGGGTAAGTTCGAAGAAGCAGGCGCAGCAGCTAGTGTGCGCGAGATATCACCCTGCGAACCCTCTGGTGTAGCCGTTCCATTACTAGCATCATGGATGCCGTTATCGGCGAGAGAGTCGGCGTTGGGGGCGCCGTTCGGCTCCGGCGCGTCTAGTCTGGATGGGCCGACGGCGGCCACGAGGACTTTATCCGCGATTCGGGTTACCACTGCGACGGAGTCGTCCAGTTCGAAGACGATCGAGCCTACGTCGCCTAGGGACATCGACTTGGCGGTCACGTAGGATGAGGGGTGGCTGGCTGGGTTGACGCCTGTTAGATTCCCGCTTGAGGCTGTCTTGGCGTAGCATGTGTAGGCGGCGCCGTAGGTTGCGCTGAGGTTGCGCAGTTGGCGTGAGGAGAGGGAAGAGCCGTGGGCGAATACGGCGCCGTTTGTTGCAAAGACACTAAAGAGATGCGGTCATTAGGTGTTTTTTGGTGATAGAATCGCGGCGGGCATACATGATCGTTGTGATCTCTGGCGGGGACAGGTTATCTTCCAAGAGGTCGCTTAGCGCCTCCGCGTCTAGCATCTTGATATCTGGGAGACCGGGAATCATGGTGTCGGTGTTTGTGTTTGTGTCGCTTTCCTGGCCTGTAGAAGGCGTGTATTCCTCCGCCTGGGTCTGGGGTCCCTCCTGTAGTGATATGTAATCTGTCTCCGCAATGCAATCTTTTGGTGGCGTCCACGAGCAGTCTTCCGGGAAAAAGAAACAGTTGTCACGATAGTCCTCGTCGTCGTGATCGTATTCGATTGGTTCGTCGGAGTAGTCCAATAGGTTCTGGGCACACTTTGTCTCGTAGCGGGCCCAGTAAGGGAGGAAGGCTGGTTCGAATGGAGGTGGGGAGCTAGGTATGGATATAGTTGTTGAGGAGCAATCGGATATCGAATCAGAGAAGTCGGGAACTGGAGGAGGTTCGGGTTCAGCCATCTTCACACCCATGGATACGGATTCGGCAGGCAGAGATTATGATGTAGCGTTTGTTTATTTCCCACGAAAGGAAAAGTGATAAATATGGGCACGAGGGAAGATAATATTCTCACAACAGGGGCTTGGCTAGGTAGATGACAGGGAATGAGGGGAACAGGCAGCGGTTCGGAACCGTCGACGTAGTGCGCTGCTCTGGTCCAAACTGAAAGTCACGATAATTCCAATCGCGTCCGGTGGTATACAGGAAGAAGCCAGGAAAGCACCACTTTATGAGGCCTGGTACGACCAGCAGGTGTCATGAGATGTGAGGCGGCTCCGCAAGTGGGAGCACCCCGATCGGGCAGAGAGGACGAAGCGTGCACATGAGCAGAGACTTGATTGGGAGAGGAAGAGGGGGAGAATATGTGGAAAAGCAAGAGCTAAGCGCGGCAATATAAGAAAGTCCAAAATAGGAAGTCCAAAATTAAAGAGAGGAGACGGGATGCGACATGACGCCGGTGCGAGGATAGAGACCAATGGTGGGAAAGGGATCAACCGGGAGCGGGGGGAGAGAGTTTGAAGGATCATGCAACAAGGATTGCCACGAACCTGGACTATGCAAAATAGGAAAATCGGGGGAACTCAGGAGGTTCGAGGGTGTTGGGGGTGGTGGTGTTTTGGAGGTTGGGTAGGAAGAGAAGAGGAGGAATTGGAGATAATCGTCCCGTTGATATGGAGTACCCGCATGACGTTTGAAACACCGAGGTAGAACTGCTGCATGCGAATGCATATTATGTATTTGATGATATCCTATGTGTAATATGATTGTTTAGCTCGAATTCAGCTAATTTCTACATTTATATATTCCAGTCTATATTATCCTTACCTATATTACCTAGTTATTATATTATGAATTGGGTATTATAGCGCTATATATATGGGTAGTTCAGTTTCAGATTAGTTAGTTAGTTAGTTATATAACTATACTAGGCACAACCTAGCATGTACTAGGAGTAATAAGGTAACTATTGAACCTAATTGATCTCAGTTCCATATAATATAGTCCTAATTCCCTAATTCTATCAGTTCTAAGAGCTAGGTACCTAGTTAACTACATTGTGTTGTAGTTATCTTACAAACTGGATATAGCGTCATATGCCCCACCCTCTCCGACGGCTGACAAAAAGCTCTTTGCCCCTCCAGGTGCTGCCATCCTCCCTCAATGTACGCTCGTCTTTCCGCCAGGGTCCTCCAACAGAGACAATTTCTACCAATCAGTAAGCTCAATTCATATTTGACTGGTCCAATTATTGACAAGTTACCAGGACCTATAGCAACCATGGCATCCGATACCTCCACCTATAAGCTCAACCGTTCGTGCACCATTACTTCAACATCTTTCGACATAATCACTGACACAATGTAAACACTATAGACACGATGATCCGGGTCAAAGACCCGCAGAAATCGGTGGATTTTTACAAGTTCCTCGGCCTGAGCCTGGTCAACAAGATTGACATGCCTGAATGGAAGTTCTGTAACTACTTCCTGGCATATAACGGTCCCGCCTCTCTCCAAGGTGACCGTCACTGGACCGATCGCAATGCCGTTCTAGAATTGACTCACAACTACGGCACTGAGAACGACCCCAACTACAGCGTGGTGAACGGAAACACAGAGCCGCACCGTGGTTTCGGTCACATTGCCATCTCGGTTGACAACATTGAAGCCGCCTGCAAGCGCATTGAAGATGCCGGATACCCCTTCCAGAAGAAATTGTCTGACGGCCGTATGCGACACATCGCCTTCGCCAAGGATCCCGATGGATACTGGGTTGAGATTATTCGTCGCGCCGATAAGGATCTCAGCACCACCACCGACCCGGGTAGCTACCGATTGAACCACACTATGCTGCGCGTGAAGGATGCCGAAGCTAGCTTGAAATTCTATCAGGAATCCATGGGCATGACTTTGGTCCGCACCAGTGAGAACCCAGAGAACAAGTTCAACCTTTATTTCCTGGGTTACCCTGCATCCAACCCAGAAATTAAGGAGGGCAGCGGAGTGGCGGAGTGGGAAGGTCTGCTAGAGTTGACCTGGAACTATGGTACCGAGAAGCAAGAGGGCCCTGTCTACCACAACGGCAATACTGAGCCCCAAGGTTTCGGTCATATCTGTAAGTGATCACTGGATTTCTTCTAATTGTTTTCCAAGGTTTCTAATTTGGAGGGGTTTAGGTATCTCTGTTGATGACCTCCCGGCTGCGTGCGACCGCTTTGAGTCTCTGAAGGTGAACTTTAAGAAGCGCCTGACTGATGGGAGGATGCACAATATCGCATTTATTCTGGATCCCGATGGATATTGGATTGAGGTGGTGCAGAATCAGGGAATTAAGCGTACTGGAGACTGGTAGAAATGGCTGTACGAACCTGTATAACTACAACATACAACATATAACTTGTAGTCCCCGAGTCTGAAAATGCAGTACATCACTTGACTTTCGTGTTGATTATTCTCCCCACCATTTCATAGGCTGACAGTGGTGGACCCTCTTCCTCCTCTCCCCCGCCCCCAGAACATTTTCGATCTTGGGGATGTTCGTTCGTTCCCCTTTGCAAATTTATAAACTTCCTTTTTCACTTGCGTAATAACTTGATGATGAGAATTTCCATCTCCAGGATTCGACCTTTGATCCGGGATGAATTAAGGAGGTGATCTACCCCCCATTTCATCTTATTTGCGGGGATTCAACGCCACACACCACTCAAGCCACAAGTTACAACCCCAAGTACCCCCAAGCTTAAACGCTTGGAATAATCGTCCAGACGTGGTCTTGGACCTCTCAACCATGTCGCCTGATTCAGAGAAAACAAAAAAGGCACCCCGTAAACATGTCACCACCGCCTGTGTGCCATGTCGCGAGAGCAAAATCAGGGTATGTGCTCTAAATCTGGTGGCAAAATGCCTAAATGGCTTCAAATAAGCTAATGCACCACTTGATACCAGTGTGACGGAGCAACTCCGAACTGTCAAAATTGTCAACGCAAGGGGAAAGAATGCAAATACCAACATGGAGACGATAAGCGGAAGTAAGTATAACCTTGTTCGTTATTTGGGAGTGCCCAAGTGATGAAGAGGCCCTCACAGGCATACAGCACTGAATACTTCAAAGGCTAATATGAACCAGAGTTTCTCTTCGAGCATCAACAGAGTTGTTCTCGGCTCGAATTGACCAACTTTGTCATTTCATCAAGGAGCAGGGGCTGGAGCCACCGCCAATGAACACGGAGGATGAGGCTGGTATGAACAGGGTTTTAGATACCCTCCAGATCCCGCGCGGATTCCCTCAAGTCACCGCAGTGACCGATGAAAAACGACCACCGGATGAGCCAACGGCCTCGGGAGGCTCAAGCAAATCCCCGTCGCAAGATCCGCCTGCCGTAAATCCCAAGGTATCAACCCCGAGCACGAATTTGGTCGCCTCTGGTGTATCCCCAGGGCAGGATACTGCATCTAGTGGAAAGGCTTCGTCGCCTGAGGGCTGGAATCCCTTCGGAATGGGACCAGGCGCTTCCGACAATCAAAACTTTGTTCAATGGGGCTTCACTTTGCCAACAGCTGAAAGTCTGGACACGATTTACGCTAATCTCAACGGAGGGCCGAGAGCCCCTGCAATTCCCAGAATGCCCGTTAACACGGAACTGAGCCCGGACAGCTACCAGCTTGGCATTGACATGGCCCAGCAGCCGGGGGTTTTACTAGGCCAGCTGGGCCATGACGGAGAAAATGATTCGGACAGCGGCGAAGAGGACGAAGCTGAAAATGATGTCATTGAGCAATTGTCGCATCGAATCGGCACTTTGAAAATCGCGGGTGATGGCCATCTGCGATTCTACGGTGCCACGTCCAACCTCAATCTGGTGGACGTGTCTGCCACACAGCAGCGGCAACGACCAGACGCGCGGACTGTGCGCTATGATGGCCAGGATATTCTGAATCATCTCCGGGTTGGCCAGCCTGTTGATCAAGCCCTGGAGGATCATCTTGTGGAGCTATATTTCACCTGGCAAAACCCCAGTACATACATTGTCGACAAAGAGATGTTCATGACGGCACGAACTAAATGGCGCGACGAATTGGATGATACTCCGTTCTACTCGGAGGTTTTAACTAATGCAATGTGAGTTCACCCTCATTTTACGGTATTTAAGGAATTAGCTGACTTGTTGCAGGTGTGCGATCGGGAGTGCCTTTGAGGCGCGCTATCACCCCACGTTCATCACCTTCCCCAAGTCTCTCTCTGAATTCTTCGCAGATCGCGCCAAGGCACTTCTGGAAATTGAGCTGGATTCTCCTTGTGTTGCTACTGTTCAGGCTCTCGTAATTATGAGCTGCCATGAAGGCGCATCAAATCGTGATGCCCGAGGTTGGCTGTATAGCGGTAAGCATATATTTTGGACGCTGGGAATGATCAATGCTCATAGCCTAATTTCTCTGCAGGAATGTCTATGCGGCTTGCTTTTGATCTTGGTTTACATCTAAATATGACGGCGTACGTCGACAAGGGCGAAATCACCCAGCTTGAGGCCGATGTTCGCCGTGCCACATTTTGGGGGAGCTATGTCGCAGACCAGTGAGTTTACGCACTTGATGTATTGTGAACCTCTCTAACAGTAACTAGTTTCTGGGGCTTCTACTTGGGCCGCCCGTTCCGCATGAACGCTGGTGACATAGGTGTTCCGAAACCTGGCTCTGCTCTTTGTCCTGAAAAGGAAGAAAACTGGCATCCATACGGCCATCAAGCTGCTCATATGCTATCCCAGAACGGTCTGAGGAATCCTATGGAGCTAATATGCAGACAATTTGTCATTTTATGGGAGATGATCTCCCCAGTTGGTCACATTTTGTAGGTGGATTTTGCACGTTATTCAGCACAATGCTAACATGCCTTTAGGTATGGATGTTCGAACATCTCTCGACACGATTTGCAAAGGATCACTTACCAAGTAACGGAAGATCTGTTCGCCTGGAAAGCAAATCTTCCTTCTACCCTTCAGATTGATTTGAACGATGATACCTCGCCAATATTACCTCATTTGATGATGCTCCAGTAAGTTTGTTTCAATCCAACAGACGCGCAGGATGAACCTAACGGTATCTTGCAGCATGCAATACCACCAGATCATCATTTTCTTCCACCGCCCATGGCTCTCCAAAAGCTACATCCAGCCCCGCAGCCCTCGTCAAGGCCCCGGGTATCACCACGCGCGGCGCATGTGCGTGGAGTCAGCCACCGCCATCGCACGACTACTCCAACTCTACGAGAAACACTACACCTTCCGCCGCATGAACAACCAAGTGGTAGCGATAATATTCAGCGCAGCACTCATGCTTCTTTTCGTGACGGTATCCAATTCCCCAGTGAGTCCAGGCAAACAGGGTGACGGTCCGGCATACCCGCGTAGCACGGAAATGGTAGCATATCTCAATCTGTGTTTCCGCGCTCTCGATGAACTGGGCCAATCATTCGACAATGCCAAGCGCACCCGCGACTACCTTGTTACTCTCCAGCGACGCTGGCAAGCAAATATGCGCCGATCTGGCTCTGCCGCGAAACGCCAAAACAGCAGTGCTAACCTGGCGTCGTTGGGTTCACAGAAGCCGTCTATACAGCATACCCGCAATGCTCAGGGCATAAATGACTCGCGGAAGAAATCCCGTTTATCTGTTTCTGAGGTTCCTCCCAATATGCAGCCAACACCTGTGACGACCAACCAATACTCCCACCTCTCTCTGAACACTCTATCTCACCAACAATATCACCAGCAAGGGTATTATCAACAACAAGCCCCATTCCCTGTCCCAGTTCCGGATTCCCAGCTAGACGATCTGAAGTGGATTCCAAACTCAGACATGGGTCTTTTGTCGGAGAGTCAAAATGACAATGCGCTGAATGGCATGGGCCAGATTCCTTCTCCTCATTTCCCGGAGGACCCGAGCATGCTCTCAGACATCGCGGAAATTGATGGATGGTGGGCATCAGAAAACTACAACCGGACCTCGATGCCACCATTAAAACGCGACTAGTCACTGTTCTTTGGTCTGCTGGTCTGCATACTTCCAAAATTTTAGAAATTGCTCAACCTATTGAGTCTGTCAAGGTTGTCACCCCCTGCTGAGAGCGATAGGGTGAATATCCCATAATCAAACATATGATTCCAGGTATTAGAGGACGTTCACATACATGTACCATTATTTCCATAGTTATTTCAATACTAAGGTCGTTATGAATTCCTCACATGCCCAATTCCACATATAAACTGGATCTTATATTCCTTGCAACGAACAATATTTAAACTATATCCTCCAATGTCCCTTGAAACACATCCTTGAACCAATCCCCCACTTCCTCTGCCTCATTATTATCAGTCCTCCGAGCCTGAGATAAAGTAACCCTCCGCTCCCCAACCCCCTTCTCCCGCCCCCAAAAGCAAGCCCTCCGCATAGCAGAAACCATCTCATCAGTCTGTCTAGCAAGAACCGTAGACCCATTACCTCCCTCCCTAGTCTTCTTCTTCATCTCGGTCCCAGACGAAAACAGAGAACCAGAACCAGAACTCAACGCAGCACCGTCCCCCCTTGAAAACACCCGGACCCAAGGTAAAGCCATCTCCAACCGCCCAACCCCATCTCCAGGCCCAGAGAACGCATTCCCACTAAGCCCATAATCCAGCCCATACGGCGGCCAGCGCGAAAGCGCCTTCCGGCGCCGGGTAACAGTAGCGCCAATACCATCGACGCCATCGGCATCCATATCGGGACACACATCTTGATCCCAGACTGAGTCGTCCGATGCCTCGTATTGCTCGGCTGTCCTCCGCGCGTTCTCCTTCAGGACGGGGACGGGATACTCCGGCCCCGTAAGATACTGCGGGAATGTGCGTGGGACGTCCCGACCCGCGGACCGGAGGAAGAGAATCGGCGAAGCAAAGGAGTCAAAGCAGCGCTCTGGCGTTGAGAAGAATCTCGAGCGGGCTTGGAGGAGAGGGACTAGGTCTGGTGGTGTCGGGGCCTTTTTTCTTGGTTGGCGCTTGTTTTTTGATGTTGCCGTTGAGCTTGCAGTGGTATTTTTATTATCACCTGCTATTGTTGTCTTGGTGTCTGTGATAGTGCTCTCGCGCGTGCAGTACTCATCCAAACCCGGCCAGTCGCAAATGGGGTCCACGGCGGCGACGGCTTGGATGGATTGGGCTTCTGTTAGAGCTAGCATTAGAGATAGAGAGCCTCCGATGTGTGTGCCGAAGATGGCTAGTTGGGATGGTCGGAGGTGCGTTTTGATCCAGTCGAATCCGGCCAGTGTGTCGTGCACTGGGGTTGGGTATTTGTAAGAGGTGAGTTGGGGGTTGCTTGATACCAGGGTTTGGTCTGGCGGGCCAGTTGGCTCTTGTGAGATGGAACTTTTATCTGATGATGGGGAGATAGGTGTTTGTATCTCTCCGAGGCGGTAGTTGACGGTGACTACCAATGCAGACGCGGTAGATGCCAGGACATGCTGAGGTGAACCTGCTGCAGAGGCCAAAGTGTTGGCACCGCCAATGCCTTGGTGATCAACTTCAAAATTATCATGATTTTGAGATGCGCTCATGCCATTTTCTTGGAACAGAGGCCCAGGAGGAAGGTATAGGATCACATTTGGGCCTTCGGGAGAGAGCCCCTGGTCAGACGGGCTCAACGCGCTCGGTCGCGTAATTCTAGAGACAAAGTTAGCATTGTGTAAATAGGACTTGTCCAAAAAGTGAAATATTACTTTAGAGAAATAGCCCCATTGTTTCCAATAGGAAGGGAGATTGTTTCATCTGTGCAATCGGGTACGACGGTCGAGTATCGCGAGATTTGGAAACACGCGACGGAAAGGCGGGTGGCTCCTCTACTGCGATGCAGAAAAAGGGCTATGCCGCGGGACGAGCAGATGATACTTCGCATCGCACTATTAGATCATGCCCTTGACGTTTGATAAAACTTGTCAAGAATCGGGCTGTTGGCCTTGCTATCCGAAAGTAGTTGGTGCCTGAATAATATGGCCATCATGTGGACTCGCCATGAAAATGATATTGTGGAAAGGAAGATCAATAATAGAACACAGAAATAGTAACGATGCTTTGTTCGAAGAATGATATATACGATCTCTTATTGTGATAAAGTTAATTGCAGTCTGGAGTGTTATAGCGTTATATTCTCTCCATCATTTTTCGATCAAACAAGGGCTAAGCTAACTAGTTAATCATGCACAAATAGCAATTTTTCTTGCTTTACAATTTCAATAAAACAAAACAAAAGCACAAAAGCAAAGCACTATGAGCATGCACTTAATCTGTAGTTGACTGCTCCAAGGTTCCCTCCATGAATACGCATCTCACTTAGATGTAGTCGCCGACGCCGCAGGGTCGTCTCGGTCCAGAGGAGCTTCGGTATCATCCTCTGGCACAGGACGCACAACCTGCAAGACCAACTGCGGATCTTTGGAGTAAACACGGAGGCCAACCACACAGACAGCATTCCACGGATCATGACGACACTCATCAAAGCCCATCGATGGAGGCTGATTCTTCACATCTGTCTCGTCAGGAGGCATATCGATATCGCTGTCAAATTCGAATCCTTCTAGTAACTCAAGGTCACCCTGGTCTAGAGCCTCTGTAGCAACACGAGTATCTAAACTGGGACGGGAAGAATCGGCTCTACGTCTCCACGCACCGCTCGCGTGTCTCGCGTGCAGGCCGTGGCCATGGCCACCGTTGACGTGGATGGTCGGGACAGAACCGTTGACACGGCGCTCACTCCTCTCGCTTGAGATGCTTCCAGCGTCGACAGGAGAATCCTCAACTGGTTTATCTGCCAGGATTTGGCTGGTGGCAAAATCGCCTTCGAGGTTTGGATCATAGGAGCTGCCGCTCGGGGTGCTGATCCCGCGCCGTGCTTCCATGCGCTGGTGTCGGGCTTCTGACTTCTGGCGGCGGATCCAGTCCTTCTGCATCCTTTTCTTGATCTCATCGCGAAGCTTTCTCCGCTCGGCTGCCTTGAAAAGCTCCTCATCCCGCTTTTCTTGATCTGTCTCGCCCACCAGTCCCTTCGCATGCGCCAGGTCGTATGAAAGACCCACCTGCACTAGTTTCTCTCTTCTCGTCGAGGCAACCTGGCGGACAATCTCCTCGGTGGAGTCTACGTCTTCGTGGCGGAAGGCTGTGATTTTCATCAGGACGTGATAGCGACCCGGGTCAAGGTTGATCTCGGCGTTAACAGATCGGCCCATGAAATGGCTGCTATGGCTGCGCACGAGGTAATCTTGCTCTCCGGCTTTCTGCAAGCGGAACTTGAGCACGAAGCTGTACTCGCCGGCTAGTCCTTTGAAATAACGCGCATCAAGCTATATCTATCAGCCACTGTACAGGAGCAGGAGTGAATGCAGCAAAACGAACCTGGGATAGCACAATGACTACCGGACCGCTGGTGTTTACTTCCATCATAAATTTAGTGGTGTGATAATCAGCGGACCAGGGGACATTCAAGGTAGTCCATTGCTGGGTAATGGTCCATTCAGGCCCAAAAAGTCGAGTCCGGTCGAAGTGCTGGTATTTCTTGAGCAGGTCTTTATAAGAGATCCAGAAGAGCTGGGCCAGGTCAGTAATTTATTGAAAGAGCAATGGATGAATACTTACACCATCGTTGCCAAATTTATGGCCAAGCTTTTCCATCCACTCGGCCGTCCATTCTTTGGACCCATCACCCCAGGCACCGTACCATTCTTTGCGACCCCATGGGTTCCTAGATACTGTGAGATTTCTGTTCGTTTCACTGGCGCATTCATGCACCTACCTCAGCCGCAGTAGTCGATGCCCTTCAACCTCCCGGGCATCCATGATGGAATAGGAGTGACCCTCCGCGATACCCTTTCGATCCCTTGGTGGACCTTGGTACTTGGGATCTAACCAGTTTGAAAAGAGGCCTGTCCCGCAACCAAACAGGAATTCCTTGTTGACCTTCATAATTTCCTCGGTCCAAAAACGGTCCTTGTTGAGAATATTGCTGGATAACACCTCAGACGTGACGCCTCCAGTGAGATCCTCGATAGCTTCACCAACGAATCCACCTTCGATCGCGGAGTAGTCTCCATGGGCCTTTGCAAATGCTTTCTCTAGAAGAGGTAGCCAAGTCTCGTTGTCGTCGACGCACTGCGCGAAGTATAGGGCCCGCGAGCCTGTCTGGTAGACTCGCCGGTACTCTTCCTCCGCATCAGTCCGGTTGATATCGTCCCAGATGGGTCGCTCGATAACAGACTCATCGTAGTCAGCAGCGCGGAGATAAAGCTTGTCATCTACAATGCACTGCTGCCACTCGCCGTCTGATGATTGAAGTCAGCATGATTGCAAGTCGGGTCTGACTCCGAGCAAAGGCTTACCTCGATGGAAAACAAATCCATAAATCCCAACCTCTTCATTGCGAGCAACGCAAATCTTCTTGATCAGCTCCTCCTTGTTCCCCATAGTGCAAAGCGCAGCCATGAGCCAGCAATCTCCGTCATATCCCTGTCGCACATCTGACGCCGTAGGCCCGTTAACAAAAAACTGCGGATTTTCAAAGATTTCCTATACGAAAATCATTAGCAACCCGCAATCCGCTCCATGGCTTATGGTTTTCGAACTAACAGTCACTCTCTTCACTCCCTGCGGTCTGAACTCCACATTCTCCTTATCCAATCCATCGAGATAGTGTCTCCGGCCAGACTTCAGGTCTAGCTCGATATCAAAGTGCGGGTCCGAGTATTTCTGATTCACACGCTCGCATTCCTTGACAATACGGTCGACGGATTTTTCACATTCCTGGTACGCCTGTTCGTACGATTTGACGGCCTCGTGGCCCTGGATACGGCCGCTGGGGACGTGCTTGGCCCGCGTCCGTGCATACGGATTGTCCGGTAGCACCGTGTATACTTTGCCAGGGTACTTGGTGTTGAATTGTTCCCAGAACTGCTTGACGGATTCCTGGGGTGCTTGACAGCGTGCGCGGGGCGGTCGGCTGTTTGAGCGTGAGGAACCAGGTCCTGCTACAGCATAGCCCATCTCATCGTCGAACTCCATAGTTTGAGGGGTCTTTGGGATGATGCTCTTTGCTTGGTTGAGATAATTTTTGGTTTTCTCTTTTCTCTTTTCTTTTTTGTTTCGAGCAAGCACCGTAGTGGGGATCTTTGGGCGGCTATTTCTCTTATATCACACCCCGAAATGGCGATGATCACTGATGAAAATAGAAACGAGACAGCGTTGCTCTTCTAAATAAGAATTTGGGAAGACATTCCCCAATTTTCCCCTCACACGGACACTCCGAGCCGAGACCATAGCCTCAGCCTTCATTACCTCGTATTGATCCGCTGGGCTTAGTCTACTCTCAATAAAAGCGTTCATCGTAAGGCTGCAGGTGCATTGGACTAGCGGGCGAACGAGCGAATGTGAGAACAAAGGCTGCTTTCGGCCCCCACCCTCGCGTCTCAGCCCCCTCCTATAATGAGCACAAAACGAATAAGCATGCATTCCGAGTCATATTTAGACTGGATCAGACTCGGTCGACTCGGTCTCTAGCAAATAGAGAAGTCAGAAAGTAGGGAGAAAGCAAGGAATGAAGAGACTAAACTTGGATGAGATGCTTAGCATGTTTCATTCCAAATCCTGTGGGCCGAAGTTCAGCTGACATGGGGGACCCAATACCTAGCTTATGGGCCTATGTTCACCTGAGGCTGAAAAAGCCAAATACAATTGGTACCATAACATCATTTGTCATATCTGATTACAGGGTAGAAAGGGTATGTACGCCTGTTATTCAAGACTAAAGCACTTTCGTATCCAGTAAGCCCGCCCTCCATATCACTCCCCATTGAACGCCGAAAGAGGAGAAAGAAAAACATGTCCCGAAACCATTCCACGGGGTGAATAAGTCTACACATAAAAGGTGTGGAATCGGTACACTAGTGGAAGCCGTTACTTGGACCACGTCCGGAGTAGTATGCGGTGCCGTTGCGGAAATACGGGTGGAGACAGGCCTGCTTGGCTGATAGTCGGTGTGCAGGGTCAAACTCGAGCAGAGACTCCAAGAGCTGACATCCAGCCTCCTCCAGCCCGGGAACGATCTCAACATCAGGGCGCTTCCACTTGGGGAAAGTGGCTTTATAATCGGGGAACGAGGTCACGCCGGGCCAGATGTCTTCACCAGGTGTACCAAGGATGCTGCAATTCGTTAATTCGGTTGAACATAGAACATAAGAGAACCACCCTTACCGGAAGATTTTGAAGATCTCGTCAATTTCAGAGTCACCGGGGAAGAGAGGCTTGCGTGTACACATCTCTGCGAAAATGGCACCCACGGACCACATATCAACACCCGTGGAGTACTGACGTCCACCGAGCAGAATCTCTGGAGAACGGTACCACAATGTGACAACCTGTAGATTATGTTAGTAAACGGAAAATTAGATCAATGGGATTGAAAATCCAATGCATACCTCGTGAGTGTAGGTGCGAAGAGGAACACCGAACGCTCTAGCAAGACCAAAATCGGCCAATTTCAAGTTGCCTTCACGGTCAATCAACAAATTCTGAGGCTTCAAGTCACGGTGCAAAATTCGGTGGCTGTGGCAGTATCGGATTCCCTCAACAAGCTGGGCCATGAATTTTTTGACCATTGCATCACCCAGGCCCAGGGTTGCACCCGCCTTGAACCCATCGGGCAAAGGCTTTCCTCGCCCACCGTCACTGACAGGCAGAGCCTCCATGTATTTCTTAAGGTCGAGATCGAGGAATTCGAAGACAAGGTAGAGCTTGTGGCCATCGGCGTGAACAATGTTCAGCAGCTGAACAATGTTGGGGTCCTGCATCTCCTTGAGGAGGGAGATCTCGCGGATTGCAGTGCTGGGGACGCCCTCATCTTCGGCTTCGAGGCGAATCTTCTTCAAGGCAACGATACGGTTGGGGTGATTGAGTTCACGGGCCTTGTAGACCACACCGTAAGTGCCTACAGAGCATCGACGCGTGAGTTGAGCTCTGGGTGACAACAATCGCGTCGAGAGAACATACCTTCGCCGATTTTCTCGATTTTCTGGTAGTTATCCATGGTGCCCGACATTCGATCCTACACTCTGTTAATCAGCTTAGAAATTTGAAAACAGAAAGGCCGGAACGAAGATTTGACACAAATTGGAGGGCTGTTGCCAAGAAGAATTTGTAGGGGAAGCAAGGAGAGAAGATAGCCGCTACTTACATCCGAGGATGTTGATCTCTGAGAACAGCTGGAGCAGCACGCTCTCCAAATTCCACCTGGAGATCGAAAAAAAGTAATTTGTCGAAGAGAGATTGACGAAAGACAGTATTTCAATGGTGGGGAGAGAAAGACACAAAACAAACAACCCCCGCGCCCATCGTAGGGCGGTGAAGCGCGTACCTTTCCTTCCCAGTTTACCGGGGCAACATTCTCTTTGACTTCATCTCATTCGCAATGGCCCAAATTAAGGGGTTTAGCGCTTATGATCGCCCTCCTGATCCAGTGAGGCTTTGCTATAAGAAATATTCTAAGATTGCCTTGTCCGAGGTTGACAATGATCCGGGCATCCTCGACCTACAACGGATTGATCCCGACCAATTGCCCGACGGAGTGACGATCACGCAGTATATGTCCAGCCAAGATCTACGATTAGCATTTGATGATTTCATTCGTGGAAGCCATCTTGCAACAGAAGAGCATGCCCCTCTGGCCGAGAATATTCCAGTATTCGCTCACAAATCGATTTCCGGTTAGCATTGTATCGCCTCAATTTGCAACTGACCCAACAGGACAAAGAGTTATACCTGACCCTCCTGACAGGTCTCCTGATGATTCCCGCCTTATTCCCTCCTACTGTCCAGATCGAACTGCTCTCCCGCCTATTCCACCGAGACTTACCCAACCCCGAGCATCAAACAAACCTCCAACTGCACTACGATGTGACGTACCCCGAAGAATCAGAAGAAACCCACATGCCCAAGTCATTCTTCGCCGACGACCCCACTCGCGAGTTCCAGCCCAAAGATCCTCAGGTGCACAAGCCTTTGACTGTTCAAAATCTCTTGGAGAAAAAGCTCCGCTGGGTGACATTAGGTGGACAGTACGACTGGACTGCCAAAGTATACCCATCTGGAACCCCACCGGAGTTTCCGCCAGATATTGCAAAGGTGCTACGCGCAGCCTTCCCAGCAACCTCGGCCCAGGCTGCCATTTTGAACCTCTATTCCGCTGGAGATACACTAAGCGTGCACCGGGACGTGAGTGAGGAATGTGACGTAGGCTTGATAAGCGTGAGTTTTGGATGTGATGGATTATTCTTGGCTAGCCACGATGACGGGAATGGTTGCGAGGTCATTCGGCTTCGCTCGGGCGATACTGTCTACATGAACGGTAAATCGCGGTTCGCCTGGCATGGAGTCCCGAAGATTCTGCCCTCGACCTGCCCAAAATGGCTGGCCGACTGGCCATCATCTAGAGGGTCTGCTCCGGGAATGCCGCCTGGTCCATACGAGATGTGGAAGGGTTGGATGTCCAGCAAACGGGTCAACCTGAACGTTCGACAAATGACGACCACTCAGGCTTCCGAGATAGTAGATCAAGTTTGACAAAGGGAAATCTGCATGTCAGTAATCTCCTCTGATTCTTTCCTTGGTCCAAAGTGGACAAAAATCCATTCCGGTCTACACAAGCACAGAAACGTTCCAATGGGCCATCAAATTTCAGTCCAGCGTCCAAAAGTTTCTATGCTTTCACCAGAGTCCCACCTCAAAGCTACTGTCAATAACTCGTCACTAGCCGCAGGTGGCGGTGACTTCCCTTGCAAACTACACCTAGACGCTTTCTAATTATCAAACTGGCCAAAACTATACCATGAAATTCCAGGTGGGCGTCACCTACGGGCGTTGATCCTACTAGGTGAGCCTCACTGGCCCATCGGCTGTAACAATATTGAGGGCGCTGATCCCACAAGATTCCCCATGGGTTGAGCCTGAGGATGTTGAATTGTTCTTTCTCTATCCAATACCTCATGGGATGGCGTCCGGTAGTCATGGTTTCTGTCATTGATGAATGGCTGGAATTCAGTTCATCCAAGGGAAACTTGGCGTATCAATTACCGACTCCCCTCCGTTTGTTCCAGCCGTAATATCAATGTATTCTTGGTCCTTTATTCTTTCCATTATATTTCATCTATAATTGGAAATGAATTGACTTGATTCTTTCAAATATGGTTCAGGCCTCCGGTGCCCAAGTGACATATAATTCTCACTATATATCCTCTGAAATATGAACGGAAGAGCCTAACGGCTCGATTAGAGGTTAATAGGCCTTAGAATATGGTTTAAAATACATACTTATCATTGCCAAGAGTCCACGGCTGGCGCCTTGGTTTTACCAGGAGATTCAAAGGCCGAACAAGGTTATCAAAGCCTCACAGAGTTCCTGACGTCATAAATACCACGTGACTATGATTGTACATAGGGTGTCGCACGCCGCACGCCCGTAACGCTTGATACTGACCATGACTACAAAAACCAGGCTCAGCGTCGCTCATACAGCATACACATATGGCCATGGCTTGCAATAAAAATTCCAAACTTGTGGTTCTCGTTGACGCCGATAATGCGCAATCCTCCATCGCTACAGACTTGCTTGCAGAGGTCGCAAAATATGGCATAGCTCATGTAAAGCGGGCCTACGGGGACTGGACCAATACTGGATTGAAAGGATGGAGCGATGTGCTACTCAGGAATTCAATTCAGCCCATCCAGCAGTTTGCGTACACCCACGGCAAAAACGCAACCGATTCAGCTATGATCGTAGATGCGATGGATCTCTTACACTCGGGCCACTTCGATGGCTTCTGCCTCGTCTCTAGTGACAGCGACTTCACTCGGTTAGCCACTCGGATCAGGGAGTCTGGACTAAAGGTATATGGGTTTGGGGAGCGCAAGACGCCTAAGCCCTTCGTCGCTGCGTGCGATGAATTTATCTATACCGAAGACCTCAAGTATCTCCCAGAATTTGCCCCGAATTCCAATAGGGTCGAAGTGCCTAAAGCCCATTCTCCAGTTCAAGATGCCCGACATAATGATATCTCAGATAGTCAGCTGAACAGTTCGGTAGAGACGAGTCTCGATGATAGTGGGTGGGCTCGGCTATCTGAGGTCGGCGGGCAACTCATAAATCGACACCCAAACTTCAACCCCTCCACACATGGATATTCTAAGCTCAGTGACCTAATTATTGCTTCCCCTCACTTCGACCTTGAGAAACGACCTCCTAAACCAGGCGAAACGCCTGATTTATTGGTCCGAAAACGAAAAACCTCTGGTGGAAATTCGCAAGTCTGATAACGTCGCGGAGAAAAAATTACGGTATTGAGGCCAAATGATTGAAATGCGGGCCGCCTGGAGAGATTGTTAAAAGTGATTTCGAATATCACTGTAAACAAAATGGAGCCAGTTGGCTTAAAGCTCTCACACAAACGTATTCGCGCATCTGCAGACCAATTGAATGAGCTCCGAAGTCTATCTACATACGAAGGGGAAGCAGAAGAGAAAAAGCAGCACAATCTGGAGGGTAACGGTAGATCGTTGCCCTATCTTAAGTTACCCTGAGTGCACCTCCGTCTACTATTGAATGGGTGGAAATCGTCTCAACAAAGGATACATTCCACTGGTGAAGAATGGCATGGTGAGCTCCGCATAAAGATTTCTTCGCAAATATAGATTGTCGGGGCCCATTATCGAGCTCTGTGCATGAAGTTCGGAAATCGTGACAGTAACATCCTTCTTCAAGATCAGAAAACACATATCGAAATCACAACCTTCCTTGGGCTTAGTATGGCAACTTAGAGCTATAAAGCAAATGAGTGACTAAGGTATTATTGTGGTCCAGGTACATACCGTCGTGAATTAGACCCGTAGACATGGTCTTATACATATGTACTTTACATGATCCAAAATTCACAGGTATCTCTTAATATGCATTGCACTACAGATGCAGCTAAATAAGTGAAAGCCCTATCTATTATGATTACATCAATTCAAGTCCAGCTTTTCGTTTCTTGCGACTCAAGTAAGATGAAAGTAGAAAGCAGAAAAACAATTGAATTGATTTGAGCTTCTTTGGTCTATGCTCTTTGGAGTGCAGAAAAAGTTGATCATGGTTCCTTGCGAAAGCCATATTGATGCCCTTTTATCTTTGAGGGTGTGAGATTTGTCCTTCAACCGCCAGATCTTCACCAGGCCTCCACTGATCTCCACCTGCCCTCAAAATATTGAGCGGAAAGCCAACGGCTGCCTCCAGGAACCGTATTGCCATTGCGGCTTTCTAAATCGCTGCTAGCCCACCCTTACCCGACCTCCAAAACAGCTCAAATTGGTTCATCAAAGAGTTACGTGTAGAGGCTCTTTTCATTCCTTTCAACTGGCCTTGGATAGTAAGAGCCCTGAAAGAGTCAGAAAACTTGTAATCACCCATTCCCACCTAGACTTACTAATTGAGAGCTCAGGAACGACCAGAACCCGGAGGCGTCTGCGGAAAATATGAAAACTTTCCCTGACTGTCGAATGCGTATGCCCAGGCAGACATCCGCCCCGCACATTTTGCTATACTCCTACGCCTTTTTCTCCAGACATGACTTGCGCCTATCTCTTTTCTGCCGGAGTAGTTTCTTCTCCATGCTAGAGGATTTTGATCGTTTTGAAATTCTCGCCATTATCTTGACTAGGCAAATAATTTTAGTTCAAAAGTTTAGTTCAAGACAAGCTTATTTTTATCTGGCCATGACCTGGTTAATATGTGCTTTTGAAAATGCACAAAGGAGGAAATGCTCCTTTTGAATGCTCGAAGACCACGGTTTTCCCGGAAAGGACCACGGTTTTTGGTCTCACAAATAAGGCTCGAGGCCACCCATCTCTCCAGATACTATAGTGGAAACACTTGACACTTAGTGTATCTAAAGCTCGAAGCATTGTCTATATTACTCCACTACGTACTTTTAGAGTGATAGGTATCATTTAGTGGAGTGCGTTTTAGGTGATAATAAAGCAATCAACACTTAAGCTACTCTAACTAATCATTCAGCCACGGATCCTGGAGTAGATCCTTTGCTGTCTTCCTATTTTCAGGCCGCCACTGAAGCATCCCTCTCATGAAAGCTAGAAACATCTCCTTATTTCTTCCCTCGAGGAACTTTTCGGACAGCTCCAAACTGACTCCTGTCGGAATCTCTATATCTTGCTTCCATCTCCCTGTAAGATTGCCTTCGTAAGCCTTTGCAAAGTGCATTGAGCGAGAAAAGGATACTTACCATCACTGGTGAAGAATTCATGGCTTCGTTTTCCACGCTGGAGCATATCTAAAGGAGGTGACCCTAGAATACCCATGACTTCTGCAAGATGCGCCCGGGTCGAATACCCTTTGCCATCAGGGTCATTTCCATAGAAAAGGTGTCTTCCCTCAAACAAATCCCACACCTAAGTAGTTAGTATATGATATTAAGAGTAAAGAGTGAATAGCATACCATAACACCAACATTCCATATGTCAACCGGGTAGCTCCAATCAGTCTTCAGCATCACTTCCGGCGATCTATAAACATTTGGCTGTGCATCGTGATTCCTCCTCTCATCTCCTCGTACGGCAGAGCCAAAGTCACTTAAAACTACTCGGCCAAATACCTTCGGCAAGTCGAAACGTCGTGAAGCATATACCGGCAAGCCATTGACTATTTTGCGGGGTGAAGGGTTCTTCAGCTCAGCTTGGGTAAAACTTTCAAGGATGGACTTGTCTTCTATTTCTTGGAGAATACTATCGCTTTTAATGTCTATAAGAATTCATATTAGGGCAACGCATTTCAACAAAGCCTTATTATACGCCTTACCGGTGTGGACAAGCTTGCATTCAGTGTGCAAATAGTCAAGTGCAAGAAAGATCTGCATAAGACCAGATTTGAGGAGATCTTCGGTGAATCGATGGTTGGGATTGCGATACAGAAGGTCCCTGAAGCTCTCCCACATCGGATTCTGAACAAGACACGGATGGTCGCCGCCCGAAGAGGGGATTGTGAAGATATCCAGCGCTTTCCTTATATGAGCATACCCAGGGTGCCATGAACGCCCTAGGTTTAGTTGCTTATAGATCTGAAACTCTTCCTGGTTACCTTCTTCACGAGTGTAGATTTTGAGTGTCACATATTGATGACCTCTGATTGTTTTAGGGAGTCAGTGTTTAGTTAAAACAAGTAGATCTGTCTGGACTTACTCAAGATCACGAGCGAGCCATACAGTAGAAGTAGTCCCAAAACCAAGTTTACCAATAATCTGGTATTTGGAAATAAGCACGTCGCCAATATTAGCAGGGTAATATTGTCCTTGTTTGAACTGCTCAAACCGTTCCTCGTCAAGCACCTCCGAGGGACGGACGGCTTCGAAGCCGCTGGTGGGAAAACACATGGGAGAGGAGGGGGGCCTTCGAAACGCCTTTATGGCCCATTTCATGATTGTAGCCATGTTGGGCATGTAGAAGGAGAAGAGGCTGGTTTTTGTTAATGTGAGACGGGAAGAATGTAGAATGGTCAACTAGCCGTGCCAAGCGCCCAACACCCCTTCGGAACTAAGAAAGGAGAAGAGAGGCGTTGATCTTTATATGTTATAGTCTGTAGCGTGAGATGATTACGTGAATTCATGCTATGTTTTTAGTCTGCGAACAGTCAAGGCCATAATTTTTCATTAGGCCATGCTTAATCCCTATGACACTCAGAACATCAGGCCGTTCGGTAAGGACCGGAAGAATTTTATTCCAATCCCCCATGATGCGTCATAATGTTATCGAAAATACCAAGGGTATCATGAATCTCTTTACGGGAGCACGAGGATGCTGTCAAAGTTCCAAACGGACATAGGTTATTCGGGTCTCGGAGCGTCGGGAATCCACTTATAGTCCGCCGTTAGAGCCATCTTTTCAGCTCAACTGCCGTCTGTACATGACGGCCTCCAGACCCATGGACCACTGCGCCAGTTGACATTGACGTCTGCACCTTCAGATCATGTCATATGTCTAGGTGGTAGGGAAGTACCGCGTTGATGAGTCCACGGGGTGATACCCGCCAAAGTCTGATAGTCCCTGCTGAACTCGGATAGTCGTGAACGACCACTCTATCACTCATCTCCTACTGGTCACCGGCGCCGCGGACAGGGCTAGACATCCCGTCTGAAGTGCGGGGGAGCAGGTCGTTAAGATAGTGGAAGTAGTGGAAATAGTGGAGATAGAGACCTCGGGAGTATTCAGGGTTTTTTTGGGATAAAATCTTCAGTACCTTTGTACATACTTGATTTCCCTCTTTGGCTTTCCCTTTTCCGTATTAGTGATCAGTGCTTGCCGCTTTTTCGCTCACTGAGTACAACTGAGCACGCTCCTTAGTATTACATAATCATCAATCGCTCACTGAGCATCACCTGATCGTTATATAAGCTGGATGACTTGCTCACTGAGCACCATGAGCAAAACGCGGGAGCAGTTAAGTTAGCACCTCACCTAGACCCGTCATCAATTTGTCGGTTGATCCTGGTTGTTTCGCCTCTAGCTGAGAGGCAAATTGATAGCAGGGCCATATTTCTTAGTTTTACTATTCTGCTGCTATACCACTACCTAACTTGCCGAGTCTCATACTGTCTCTACAACAGTGAACAGTCTACCTTATAAAGATTCACCCACCTCCACTCATTTTTACTAGTACACAATTAGCGTAGTAGTTTATATAGTAATTTTTTTTTTACAAATGAATACTATATTAATTCTTTTTAAAATAGGGCTCTTTGCCCTCCTAAATCTCAATTTCTTACTACTATCTTACTATCTTAGTATGTAGTAGATCCCCTGTTAGTAGCAAATTACTATGTAACAATCACTGCCTGGCAACTTAGTAGCATACTATCAATCAGATCAGATAGGAATTCCTCCGGTACAGTATACTACCTCCGGTACAGTATACTAGGCCTCCTAACCCATACTACGAAGCTTCGATAAAGGAAAGTACTAATCCCTATACTTTCTCTCAATATAATGCTTTATCTAGTTCTATACCTTCTTGATAGGGTTTAAATCAGATATAAAGAAAGATAGGCTATTCTATTACAGTAATATTAAGCTCCTTAAAGAAATCAAGGTCTCTTTAGTAGTATACCTAGGAGTATATAACAATATCTGAACTGAATTTAATCTGAATCTGAATCTGAAGTGAATCTGAAGTGAATCTGAACTCAATATGAATTTAATATATTATAATGTATTGCAGAGAGGGTAGTTGAAGAAGGGAGAATTAAAAATCATAGCTATATATGTTCAATATAATACGTTTACGGGCATATTGGCGTCGGGGCTCTATGTGAGTAACCGCGAGGATACAAAGTTTTCTTTCATTCTACAAGCATTTCTTCTCTGCAACGCACTTTGAGTCTTCTCTGCTACAAGAATCTCTTCTCTGCAACGCACATTTCGAGTCTCTCCTCTTCGAACGTCTGCTTGCACTTCATCTTCTTCTCACCTAAAACCCATCTTTTCCCCGTTTTCTCCGTCGTCATTCAGACTGTTATCACTTCGACATCATTTCGTCCCCACAATTCACATCGTGAGTACTAACTATCAAGTATCCATACTTCTCTTTCTTTTTCTAGGGACTGACATCGTTTAGTACAATGTCTGAACCATCTGATCTAGTATAACCCGCCAAATCTCACCATTCCGCCCCTGTTCCGCTTCAATCACCGCCTGTTTCATTTCCTTCCAGGGCACCTCGGGTTCATCATCTTCCTGTCTTAAAAGCAGACCTGAAGAAGGTAGCTACATCCCGTGGCAATGTTCACGCTCGGAAAGTGACCATTATCCTTGGCTGGGAAAATGATACTACCGGTGCAGAGGAAGATATCATCACTATGGGCAAAGTCATGGAAACCTTCGACATCCAGTATACAGAGCACATTCTGAAAGCGAAGGACTCCACCCCAGGTCGGAATCTTTCAGCCAAGATTCGCAAAATGATTCTTGGATGTTGTCAAAGATGCTGTGCGATACATCGATGTCCTCGGTGTACTTGATTGTTGCTACTTTGTCGCTGCAACAAGAGCACAGGCACAGGCCTCAAGAGTGGCCCAAGTTATGGGGGCCTGTAGTCCTAATGAGGGAACGAGCCCTCGGGGCCAGGAATGTTACAACCTGCCCCTGGACTGGCGAGTTACAAACTAGGCCAAAAGACCATTATATCTGAGCATTACGCTCAGATTGTCTAGGTTCCGATATATATAATGCAATGACATGACAAGGAAATATCGTTTACTACGGGACTATTCCATGCAGTTCAGTACTATCAAGTGTCTCCATAGCTCCAAGTGCTGTGTTTAAATCTCTCAGTGGTACCTACCCACTCCGACTCATGATCAATGACCACACTCCTTCCTCGTGCATCTCACGCCCTATATCACATGTGAATGAGAAACATGTACTTGTCAAATTGACCCTGCACGGTCAGAATGCCACCGGCACATACCTCTGTCAATTGGTTCATATTGCCAGCAGTAATTTAGATCCACTCTCACTTTACAACTAATTGAATACCTAGATTATAAAGGTTAATACAATTGATCCACTCATTTGCCTAATATCACGTGATATACTTGGGACTGAAAATTACTCCTGACTCCCGAGGTGTCGCCCTCGTAAAAGCGGCGGCAGCTAAGATAGGAAAGCCCCCACCCGACAGAAGAAATAAGTTACGTACAGTGACCAAGGTACATCAATGGATAAGTATCTATGTTGTAGGTATTTATATAACCCCCGGGGTGTCTCCCCACATCCGATAGCTGTACTGTACACAAGGGATACCCTCCTCGACATCTTCAATGTTCATTTTCTCTAAACTTCGGGAGGTCGTCTGGGGGAAACCCGCGGCGACCAAGGCAGAACGAAAGCTTTTGGTCAAGCTTGACTTGGTTATTCTATCGTTTTGTTGTTTGATGTATTGGGTTAATTATCTTGATCGCATGAACCTGAACAATGCATATGTGACTGGAATGAGAGAGGACTTGAACTTCCACGGCAACCAATTGAACATCGCCAACACAGGTAAGTCAGGATATACTGGCCTTAGGATCACATTATTTCCCAACTTTGCGACTAACGTATCATAGTTTTCTACGGTGGCTATGTTTTGGGACAGATTCCGAACAACCTCGCCTTACAAAAGCTTCCTCCGCGTATCTATTTCCCGGCCTGCATGGTTGCTTGGGGCTTGCTCACTTTGGGCACTGGCTTTACTCACCATCCATGGCAGATCATGGTTATCAGATTCTTTCAAGCTATCTTTGAGGCTTCTACGTTCGTTGGTTGCCAGTATATTCTCGGAAGTTGGTACAAGCCGGACGAGCTCGGCAAAAGAACTGCGATCTTTACTAGCAGTGGTTTAGCGGGAACGATGTTCTCCGGATTTATGCAAGGGGGATTCATCAGAGTCTTGGTAAGATAGTCATCTTTGATCAGCAGTAACATCTTTGTACTAAGTGCTAATTATGTGCAGATGGTGTTCGAGGTCTTCCTGGCTGGCGGTGGTTGTTCATCCTGGACTTCTGCATCACCATTCCAGTGGCCATCTTTGGGTTCCTCGCGTTCCCGGACACACCAACTTCGACAACCGCATGGTGGCTAAGTGAAGAGGAGAGGAAGCTCGCTATCGAGCGACTTCCCGAAGTCGAGAAACAACGTGGTATGTTGGGATGGAATGTGATCCCGCGTGTCCTGCGGACCTGGCACTGGCTAGGCTTTATCCTGCTTTGGATATTCGCAAGCAACACCGAAATGTTCTCATCGAATGCTATCATGAATCTGTGGCTCTCGTCAACAAAGAACTACACCGTGTCGGAAGTCAATTACATCCCGACCGGTGTGGCGGGTGTAGGAATCATCACCACCCTTGTCCTGGGCTGGTATTCGGACTTCACCAAACGTCCATGGCATGTGGGTGTTTTCCTGGCCTGCACTGCCATTTTGTCCGGAGCGATCATGCTACGGCCTCCATCCACCGGAGCCAAATTTTTCGCATTGTTCCTGAATGGTTGCCAGTACGCTAGCCAAACTGTGATTTTTGCCTGGGCAAATGGGGCTACTGGAGATGATGATGCGAAGCGAGGAATAATTCTGGGTGCTATGAACACATTTTCAATTGCGGTCTATATGTTCTGGTCACTGCTTTTTTACAGCACGACCCAAGGCCCAGACTGGAAAGAGGGTAGCATTGCAATGATATGTATGGGGTTGGCTTTGGTTATCACGACAATTGGGGTCCGGTACTTGGAGAAGCGAGACAAGCGGAGGATGGGAGTACATGAGGGGGTTCAAGTCCAAGGTACCGACGAGGTGAAAGCCAGTACCGACGCTGATAGACCCAAAGACACTGAGTAGATACACTATAGGAGTCCCTATCTCGGACTTTTCTAGACCATGAGGTGAATTATGAAACGACCAATCCTGTCAACTGCATACAGAATATAACAAACCATCTCTAATACTATAATCAATAACAATAGCAGCTGACTCTCATAATCTGAACACAATCTACCTCCAGTAATTAGGATTCGGACTGCATATTTTCTTATTCCAAGCGACCGGATCGAGAGGTTAATTTCCGGGGATTTAGATCCCCTTCCTAATTAGGACTTCCGTTTGGTCTTTTTTCCCCCTGTGAATTCTCTATTGCCTATCGACACGTCCTTGACCCCGTATGGACAAGCCGGGCTATCGTTCACAATGTAGTTTGTCCATTTGCCACAGAGGACGGCATGCGGATTGCATTTCCGCGATATCCAGTGATAACAGGCAGCCCGACGAATCAATTGTATTAATTTAAATAGAGTAAATATTATTGACACCCCTGCAATACTCCCGAGGTCCAAATTAGACCCGACATGATACGCGACAGGAGTGGGCGATAAACTAGTCTCCAACTGTTTTGCTGTTTCGCGTTCAATGACTCCAATAACCCCGCACCCGACATTCTGATATGTCGTAGAGTACATATGTACTCATTGCAGAAGTCTCTCTCACAATATTTCAACGAACATCTCTAATTCGTCATGACAGATGCATCCTGGCAATTGAAAGGCGAAGCCAAACGCCAGTCAATTCTGAATACTATCCCCAAGAAATGGCGACTAAAATATCCGGTTCCTCCCGCTACAGAGCTACGTGATGTCACAGCAGATTATATCCGACAGTACCTCACAGCGCGTGAGATTGAGATCACAGAGACAGATGCTGTAGACATCGTGGAGCGGACATCTACAGGCCGCTGGTCAGCTGTGGAAGTGACAGAAGCCTTCTGTCACCGGGCCGCACTGGCTCACCAACTCGTATGTTTATAGTCACAGCGCAAGAGATCCAAATAAGAGCTGACCATAAACCAAACCTTAGGTCAACTGTCTCCACGAAACCTTTTTCGAAGCCGCAATCAAAGATGCCGAACAGCAAGACAAATACTTCACAAAGCACAAAGCCCCAATAGGACCCCTACATGGCCTACCAGTGAGTCTAAAAGACCAATTTCACGTAAAAGGCGTCGAAACAACAATGGGCTACGTAGGCTGGATAAACACCTTCCAAGGCCACAAGGATGACCCCCGCAGCGGCACAGAAGAAAGCGAACTCGTCCGCGAACTCCGCAATCTCGGCGCAGTACTATACTGCAAGACCAGTGTCCCAGCCACGCTAATGACCGGCGAAACAATCAACAACATCATCGGCTACACCTGGAACCCCAAGAACCGTCTGCTATCCTCCGGCGGCAGCTCTGGTGGCGAGGGCGCGCTGATTGCGCTCCGCGGCTCGCCTGCTGGCTTCGGCACCGATATTGGAGGTAGTGTACGCATCCCTGCTGGGTTTAATTTCTTGTATGGGATTCGTCCTTCGACGGGAAGAATTCCTTACCAAGGCGCTGCGAACTCGTTAGATGGCCAGAGTACTGTCCCGTCTGTTATTGGGCCGATGGCGCCAACTGCGAGGTCTTTGACACTCTTGTTTAAGGCTGTTCTTGGACAAAAACCTTGGTTGTATGATCCGCTTGCGTTGGAGCTGCCGTGGCGGGATGAGATTGTTCAGGAGACAAGGGCGTTGATTGAGAAGGCTCAGGATGGGGCGTCGACGCTTGCGTTTGGCATTATGAAATATGATGGTGTGGCCCTGGTTCATCCGCCTATTGCGCGGGGGCTCGGGATTGTTGAGAAAACGCTACGGCGTTTGGGTCATCGGGTTATTGAGTGGAAACCTCCTTCACACGCTATTGCCGTTGAACTACTTGTATGTACCTGCGGGCTTCGCGTTTGGGTTAGGTTCAGTACGGTGCTAACTTATGGTAGGAGAAAGTATTCAACATGGATGGCGGCGTAGACTTGAAGTATCATCTCGGTCTGTCTGGAGAATCTCGAGCTCCGCAAGTACTCGGTACCGAGAATGGTATTCCGATGACAGCACCTGAGATTTTGGCGCTCAATGTTGCAAAGCGTGAGTATCAGAAACGGTACATGGACTATTGGAATAGCACGGCCGAGTTGACAGGCACGGGGCGTCCTGTTGATGCGCTGTTTTGTCCATTGGCGCCTCATGCGGCAGTCATTCCCAACGAATACGAGTCTGTCGGATACACTGGATTTGTGAATGTGCTTGACTATACTAGTCTTGCGATCCCAGTCACATTTGCGGATAAGAAGGTCGATGTGCGATCGTCTTATGAATCTGTGGATGGATCTAAGAACATCCAGTGGGATTGTGTGTTTCCCCTATACTTTCCCTCTTTGTTATTTCATGCTGATCTTTGTGTAGATGATTCCGAGTCCTATGATGGGGCCCCTGTGGGAGTGCAATTCGTAGGGAGGAGATTGCAGGAAGAGAAGATGTTGACTCTAGCTGAGTATCTGGGCAAAGAGATTACCAAAGAGGCGGAAGGAAGAGCGTGAGTCCCAAAATATTAGACAGTTTGTTGATTGTCAACGTGACGCCACTGTAATAGAGTACCTGCGCCTAAGCTATGATGAAAATGAAGCGTTAAGCATTCGTATTGGTATTGATTATCATGCTATTCTCTATTAGGAAGGGTATATCATAGAACGGACGGGCTAGACAAAGCTAACTACTGTGTCAAGTCAGTGAAGGGTATGAATGATACCCCCTAGGCGGCTCGTCCGGTGCGTTTTCACAAATATTGTTAAGCCCAAACCAGTCAATTCCTGGAGGACGAAGACGGGGGCGTCTGCCCCGAGGGTGCAGCAAGATTGGACAAATGAGGTGTGGAAGATCCCCAAGGTTTACCTGCTGCAGAAGGCGGAGCATGGCCAGGATCGGACGAAGGACCAGATGGGTCATCTGAGCCATTCATGAGGCGCTGTCGCTTAGCCGGAGGCAGCCCACTAACCTGGGGCATGCCGCCCGGTAGACCGCCAGCGGGCGGGCTGCGAGGATCTGCAAAGGAGTGGGGTGAAGCGTAGTGGGTTGATGAAGCAGGGGTGGAGGCAGCTGCAGCGTCTGGGCTCAAAGCCGTAGCAGATTGCAAGGGGCGCAGGCGGTTCGGATGAGAGGTGGTGTCTTCACCCGGGCGTGGGGGCCGGACATCAGGGCTTTGGTGAGACTGACTTTGGTCTGGATCACCCAGAGGACTGGGATTTCCATAACCAACCCCGACCCGACCCATGCCCTTGTCGTGCATCACAACGCGTTTCCATTTGGCGACCACGCTATCGTAGTCCCATCGCGTAGAGTCGGCACTGATGTGGCTTTCTTGTGCGTCTAATTCCCGTGCTACCTCCCGTGGCAGGGGGAGCGTATCTGGGGGAAATAGTGCGAACTCGCGAGGCCATTGGCATGACCCGAGGCGCTCGACCTGTGCACGCAGCTGGTTTGCTTCCTGTTGCACTCGAGCGAGTTGCTCGTCTGAGGTCTTGCGTTTCTCTACCTCTCGCGCAAATGCACGTGTGATCTCCAATTGCCACGCGTCGCGACGGGTCTCGTGGGCCAGAGAATTCCAATGATTGAAGGCCAATTCTAAGTGTCGGAAACTGATATCCTCATGCTGTTGTGCGCTCCGGTATATCATATTTGGATCCACCCCGCTATTCCCATGTCTCACGTGCGGCACAGCAGTCGAGTCTACTGTGAGTTGGTCGGTCTGCCATTGGGCGACCTTGGAGCGAAGGGCTTGGCGGACTATATCGAGGTGCTCGGCGCCGGGAGGCTGGAGGGGAAACGACGTAGACGAGGAAAACGGATGTGTTGCAAACAGGCTTGGTGGAGGAGGCAGCAGCTGCAGACACATGGAGGGGAAGGTCTGAGCTTGCATGTCGAAGTCGAATGGAGACAGCCGAGGTCGGTTACGAGAGCTAATGTTGCGTGAGATTGAGGGTTAGACATGACCAAGGGAAAGATTCAACATACCTCGCAGCTTTGATATTGTCAAGCACCTCGCGCAGTGCGAGCTCCAATGCCCGCATCGTATCCGGGTTGGTGGAGCTAGCACCTCTACTGGCATAGTCCGGCAGCTGCAACGACCCTGTCCGAGACTGCGATGGCGCAATTCGAGGGCCATCCGGCACGCGACTGGGGTTGGGAATGTCATTGATCACTCCAGTCGCGTGCCAGGTGGGTGTGTTAAACATCATGCGCACCGGAGCCTCGCGCGACTTCGACCCCGAGTCTGCGGCCGCAAACGGCTCTGAAGTTCCCTTTTTCTGGCTTCGTTCAGGACTGCTCTCGTGCTTCCCTGTAGATGTTCGAGCCTGGCGCCGGGTGATTCCGCTGCGAATTCTTCTGATCTCTTCGACATCGTGAATTCCGTCGGGTTTCTTTTTAAAAAGGAATTGGTCAAGGTGTCGACCGAGTGATGAGGAAGTAAAGGCCTGCTGGCAGTACTGGCATTTTCGATCCTTTGAAGCAAGACTAGCCTTCGACTCGTCACCGGCAGTCGAGCCATCGGGGGTATCTCTCAAGGTTTCTGTTTCGTCCTTCATGGCGTGGAAAGTAGAAAAAGGGAGGTGAATAATATATAGATAGACAGGCCTTAATTTTAAAAAGTCATGGCATATAGTGTAATGCGCTCAGAAGGAGCCAGTGGTATAGGTAAAATTCAACGCGCAAAGTGAGATGAGAGAGGGAGGTGAGGAAGATGGAAAATGCCAAGCTTTTGGGCGCGGAGCTGCGCGATGAGCAATTTCGCGGCCAAGGGCCAAGCCAAGGCACATGCAGATTTATCTGTTCAATTATATATAGATAATTATATATAGATATATAGCTATATGTTATATATATATGTAACCGTTTCAATGTTACCTATGCCAGTATCAGGTAGTCTCTGCAATGTAACTAGGCCATTCAGCCAATCAATCAAGTAGGATCGATCTAACTGCCTAGGTGCATATAGTACGTCGAGCAAATCAAAATCAAAGGAAATAGTTCATTCTTTTTGGAGACCATTGCATAATCATGTATTTCCTATGACTATAGAGTCTAAGTATCCCCTCCATGGAAGACACGGTGTAACCAAGTTCAGGAAGTGTCTTTGCCCTTTCTCGTCTTACGCGCACTGAACCAACGTTTGATGTTGCTCACACCATGTAAATATAACCATGAGAAGGCGAAAACAAGAGCAAAGTTGAAGAAGATATATCCCCAAAATAGTCCCTGATATATATCTGAGATTAACCTGACCCTCCCAGGTATACCAAAGGGGTACAAAACACGATACTCACATAATTTCTCCACTTGTGCGAGTAAAACACATTGAGACTCTTAGCCTAGAGATAATAACAAAGTTCGAGTTAGCCATGCTCAATCCAATTAAGAACCTTGGGAGACCACGATAAAGAGCAACTTACATATTGATCACCATTGGAGTATTGGCAGAACGCGCACATTCCATTCCCAACGTCTCGGACATACCCACCAGCGTTTTCGACATAAGACCCAGCATATTGTTGGCAGTTCATACCAGCCGGAGTGCTGAAGTGGGATTCCTCACGCTCAATACAGCGCATTGGGACATTATGCGTGATGACTCCAACAAACCCCTCCAGGAGATAGTGAAAGGGCGTAAGCCAGTACATCCACGACTGCCAAAAATGCGGCAATGCGACGTAAGGGACGACAACTCCACAGAAGGAGACGATAAATGTAAAGAAAGTTGGCACAAGCAAGCTAGCAAAGAGCTCGTTGGGTGCAAGTGCGGCTATGAATTGGCCAAGTCCAACATAGTATAGTTCGAAGAGCATCAGCGACATCCAAACGTAACCGGAACTGAACGAGTCGCGCGGGAACCAAGTTCCCCAGTACCTTTTTGTATTTCTGTCAGACTTGGAAAGATATAATTATTTCTCAAGAGGCACTTACCAGCAGTTAAAGTAAATTGACCCGGCAACAATCGAATAGGGCAGTTCTGGGACAATTGTGCTCGTCACAAAGGCAGCCCAAGAGTAGATCTTGGAGTTAGCTTCACGAGATTTATAAAGCCCGCGAAAATGGATATATCGCGGTTGGAGTTGCTGTATCAGCGGTGGGGCGATTGTCAACGTCATGAAGACAGAGAACAGCCGCGATTGCATGTCAATGGAGCTATCTCCCAGGTGCCAAAAAGTGAAGGTGTTGAAAAGGCCGGTAAAGATATGGAGCATAAATTTGCCCTTGGTAATAATTAGTCAAGCCATTCATGTTTTGTTGGAGACCTAATGACTTACAAGGATGTACTCTGGGGTCCTCCAGTAAGCCACGAATGCGCGCTTGGTGACTGCGACTATTTGAACATAGAGAGGCATAGCGTACTCGCGACTGTCTTTAACCTTCTCATCATCTTGAGAATTGCGACGGCTGGCAATGATACCGTCTAGATCCTCAGAAAGCTGCTTGGACTCTGGCGAGTTGGCCCACACATCGCCCCAGTCCTGCCCCTTATAATCAGGGTTTCCGGCTCCAATGACTTCCAACATATACTAGAGAGAAGTTCAGCGAGAAACAATGGCTTCAGTTTCATGATACATACCTCTGCTGGATTTTCATGCGGTGAGCACTTCCTTCCGCCATTATGTTCAAAGTAATCAATCAGCGTCCTGGAGTCATTTCCAAGGGGGCCGTTGTAAACGACACTTCCACCGCTTTTCAGCAGCAAGAGCTCATCGAAGTTCTCAAACAACACGGCAGAGGGTTGATGGATTGTGCAGAGAACAGCCTGGCCCGCATTTGCAAGACGGCGAAGGAAGCGCACAATGTTGAAAGCGGCGAGAGAATCGAGACCGGACGTGGGCTCATCCAAGAAAAGCAACAGCTCCGGTTTACTCGCCAGTTCTACCGCTATTGTGAGTCGCTTGCGTTGCTCCTGATTGAGACCTGAGCCCGCGGATCCAACCGTTGCGCCGGCGATGGATCGCATTTCTAGCAAGTCAATGATTGTCTCGCAATAATCATACTTTTCTTGTAATGGGACTTCCTTCGGCTGCCGCAAAAGAGCAGAGAACCTAAGTGACTCGCGCACAGTAGCGGTGGGTTCGTGAATGTTCATCTGTTCGGCGAACCCGGTTGCTCTCTGGAAGCTCCTTGGGAGAGGCCTGGGAGTATTAGATTGAATAATCAATGAGCTACTTAAATATTCCCTACCTTCCATCAACTAAGAAGTTGCCAGTGACCACACCAAAATTGATTCGTTGTGCTAGCGCATTGAGCAAAGTGGTTTTGCTGGTCAAAAATTAGCATCAAGAACGTCGTCCGCTTCGTTTTGTGTCTTACCCTGAGCCAGATGCCCCCATCAATGCAGTCAATCGACCAGGCTTAACATATCCTTGAACATTTTGCAATAGCTGTCTCTGTCCACCCTTGTACGGAATGGTGTAGTTGACGTCTTGCCATGTGAATATTGCAGTGTTTTTAGCAATTTCCTGGACCTTATCCCTCGATTCCCTCGAGTCGCCGTCATTTTTGTTGGTCGCTATGCCAGTCGCTACACTATCCTTCTCTGCAGATTCTTCATCTTGTGGCGGGGAAGATCGTTCCACGATATCTTGAACTGCTTTGGGGGCTTCGCTTCTTTTAAACACCGTGACCGAGCTGCCACCCTTGTTAGGTCTCTGCAATTCCATTCCCAACATTGTCAAACAGACGAAAAAAATGAGCCATCCGATGATGATTCCGAAATTTCGCCACAGGTGGGCTCTACTGTAAGTGTATGCGGTTTGGATATACTTGGCTCCATGAACAATCAACTGGTCGGGATCATTGCCTTGGATTGCACAGGATTGGTGGCCAGGCACCGCATTCGGCCCATCAGGCACAATGTAAGGTGGTTCACATTTAATTTGGAGAGTATGGAACTCGTTGGCCATCAATCCCTCAAATGCGTATTGGACAGGATTGAGCCAAATGAGCCACTTTAACCACGGGTGCATTTTCCACGGAGGGATAAGATAGCCTGAATGATGTTGGCCATTGAATTTGAATAATAGGGTTCATTGCACTGTGCTTACCCGTGTACACAATCAATGCCTGTATGGAAACACCAGTGAGACGTGTGGCTATATAGTGTTATTGGAGACATCTTGATACCGAGAGGTTTGTGTCACTTGCCGACATCCAACGAGGCACATAGAGCCCCAAGAGCACGAAAGAATGAGTACATCGTCATTGAGAGAATGAAAATGAAAAGTAGATTTATGAAGAACTGCGAAGGTGTTCGCGCAAGGTTTGCCATGCTATATATCTCGTCAGTATAATCAACTTGGAGCATCCAATAGACTCACAAGTATACTATGATATCAAATAGAACGACTTGTATGAACACGAGAGGCACATCAACCACAACCTGGGCAAGCGCATAAGCTGCAGGGCGATAGAAAGAGCTGGAGAACATTAGTCCTATCATTTTCTCATTTCTTCCTTGCGGTCCTCACAAGCTTTTATGTTTCATTAAGATTGGTCGACTCTCAAATGCTGCTGTCAGCTCTGCCATAGCAAGCAATGAATTGAAAAGCAGTATAAAGAACATTACACCACCCCTCGTAAAAACGCCATTGCTTAAGATGGTAAGCCACATGGAGTTTCGTTGGATTTGGAGAGGCAATTGCATACCTTGTATCCGGAAGATTGTAAAACAAGCTACCTATGATGAGGGCCTGAAATGTTATCATACTCCACTTTGCAATCAATGACTCTCTATCACCAAACATTACCAGAAATTGGCGATGTGTGAGGATCATAACTTGTTTGTAGAATGAGATCGTGTAGTTTTTCCGCTTGGTGGTACTTCTTGCAGCCTCTCTCTCCTGCCTTTGGGCTTCGATTTCGCCCTCGAAACTTTCAATATCCGCTAGGTTGGCTTTGTAGGTATCACTTTTGCGATATGCAGCTTGAAATTCATCTGCGTTCCGAGGGGTACGGTCATCCCATCCTGCTTTAACGCGTCGTGCATTGGGGTCACTGACAGAAGTCAAAAAGTCTGGGGTTGTCCAACGTGGTGGGCATTCAAAGCCCAGCCGCTCGAAGTAGGCCTTTGCATCCTGAGTTGGTCCGAAGAAAGAGCATTTTCCTTTTTCGATCAGAATGACTTTGTCAAACAGATCAAATAAATTCTCCGAGGCCTGGTAGAGAGCCACCGCGGTTGAAACGTTGGCGGTGTTTGTTAGACTTCGCAAGCTTTGGACATACTCCAGCGCTGTACTGGCGTCTAAGCCCTTAGTAGAGTTGTCCCAGCACTGGGTGCTAGCCTTGGTAACCATAGCTTCCGCAATTGAGGTTCGTTTCTTCTCACCCCCGGAAACTCCACGAATGAGCTCATTGCCAACTCTAGTTCCCATAGCATGTTCAATCCAGAACAGCTTAGCTATGGCAGACAAGAAGGTCTCCTGATATTCTTTTCGACTTTCTTCTGGGATTCGTGAGGCTTGGTCGGGAGTTCGGGATTTCAAAGCAAAAAGCAGTGTATCTCGCACAGTCAAAGCTGCATAATGGAGATCATCCTCTGGGTTGTACAGGA